TTACAAGAAGGCCTCTAATGGAAAACTGGATCACACTTTATAGCTGGGTTATAGATGACACCAAAACATTCCATAGGCCTATAATATTTAATACAGAAGGTGGTCAGCTAAAATTAATATAATGATTTCTGTTGCAAGTTGTAAGGTCTAGGCACTAGTAGAAATGATCAGATTAAACATTTGAGAGATTACCATTTAGATATGTCATGGCAAAAGTTTAAGTTTAAAACTCTAGATGTATAACATTATCACATTATAAAATCTGCAAACCACAAATACACTTTACTACACTACACTTTAATAAACCTTAATAAATCATGAAGAAAGACTTAATTCATAATAAAGAAGTAACTTATTAGTAATTTATTAAGAATGAGTCAGGTTTAGTAACTTGAGGATTAGGTGTATTAAGTATTAAGTCTAAATCATCCTTAATACACTATTTGTTGTTTATTAGGAATACTATTTGGTGTAGTTATTGTTATAAATGTTACAGTATAATTGTAATGTAGAAAATTGGTAAAATATATGACCTGCCCAGACACTTGTCATTTATTGCAACTTGCAGAACCCAGACCTGGAATCAAAATAAGGATTCATCTTGCTTGTTCCATTAATATGCAAAACCATTATTTCTCTTAATGACTCCAGAGTTTAACTAACCGATTTAGTCCTGATGTCGACTTGGTTTGGACCTGGTTAAGTCCAGGTTTTGTCACCGTCGTCCCAGATTTGATAAAGATTCCTGAATAGAAGTGATTATGATCTGATTTCTTTATATAAGTGATTATGTGTTTTTTGGCTGACAATTCCTGAAAAGTTTATTATCACAGTAAATATCTATATTTATTTAGCACTCTTAGCTAACAATTTTTTTCACACATTTTTCAACACCTCAACAAAACCTCTACATAGTTTTACTTTATGCTACACATTGACTATTGTGCATCCCTTTCAAAGTAAATTCATGACAGGTTTGGTGTTCTTTTGTCCCTTTGCAGATTGTGTTATTAAACCTGAACTCTGTAACATTTCTGGTTTAGGGTATGTCACCTGCTCCATGGTGATGTCCTTTCTTTTGCTTGGAATATTCTACAGTATGGCATATAACATCTGGCATTTATGGAACTATAGGCGCTTTTATTGTGCAAAAGTATCTTGAAAGACATGCATTCTTACATGGCCATCTCTCCACAGATCTGACCTGTAAATCGACCTAGTTGCTTGTCTTCACAGTGTTGGATAAGTTTAATGCTGTATTGTGAAACATTCTAGGCAAAGCAATGACATCTCCATGGAGACGAGCAAGTGTTGTTACCGCCACTAGAAAAATTACACTGTGCACCTTAAGTTTTTGCTTTGCATGTAAAATAGCTATGCCTACTGAGTCTTCTGTAATTACAAAAGATTGGACCACATCGAGTGTCGGTAAACATTATTTCTGTAAAGTGCATCTGGATTTTAAAACCACACAATCACTATGGCCACTGTGAAGCTGTGGGCATCAGATGCAAATGAGTGTTTCTTAGTCATCAGATAAACAGAGCTCACAGCCCCTGGAGCTACATCTGTGATGGCCAAGTCAATGTGTGGATCCTACCACTAAGAGCAAACTGTCTTTTTGGAGGAAATTGTGTGATTTTGACAAAACAGATGCCTTTAAATTTTTTGTGTTTTTAAAAAATATTAGTATTGGTTGGTTTTGAATTTGGTTGACTTTTTTTTTCAGCATTATTATTCTATATTATAAACATCAGAAATAATCTGGACCAACTCCTACAAAATAATGCTACTGCTACTGCTGCTACTACTACTACTACTACTACTACTGCTAGTCTTCTACTGTTACTACATTCACAGTTACTTTCACTACAACTGCTACTATTACCACTGCTACTAGTATTACTACTACTACAAAAAGGAATAAGTAAAGCTGTTTTAACATTGACAATTGATTGAACTGTAAACTGTATTTCTGAACAATTTTCTACTTTTTAAAGCATTGTAAATAATTGTAATCATGTGTTGTTACAACTGACTTATAAACATGCAAAGAGAGGGAGAGCCAGCTATTGTTTCAGCTGCTTAGTATGCATCATTAGGCCTCACTAAATCCTTTTCCCTGTGTCTGTGTCCACCAGAGAAAATCTGCCTAGTCGCTTTAAGTTCAAAGAGTACTGCCCCATGGTGTTCAGAAACCTGAGGGAGCGTTTCAGCATTGATGATCAGGACTACCAGGTCAGTACTGCAAGAGGAACTCAGAACTGTATAGGACTGTTTCTGCAAATGTGTAAGAAGGATATGGTGAAGGCACTAGTATGTTTAGTATGCTTTTTGAATCTTTTGAATTGTCACTTAATGGCACTTTTAATCGTTAAGCTATCCCTTTGAGTACATTTGCATGACCAGAAAATGAAAAACATAAGCCATAAGATCTGATTAACATGCATAAAAGAAATCTGATCAATAAGATGAAAAACAACAGATGGCCTGTGTGGGTCAATTAGTGGATTTCCAGAATAACTGTACTAGTGTTTGGGAGACAAGGTAAAACAAATAATGTTCAGACCTTTGGCGTGCATGTAAACATAGAAGTTTTGTATTAGCAACTTCTCAGGTCTGTCAGTGACAGTGAATGTTTTTGGATTAGAAGTTTTATATATTTTCTATTACTGATATTGTACAAAAATGCCAAGCATGAGTTGAAATTCAGTCCAAAACCTCTGGAAATAAATCAAATAATCCTTTAATTTATAGCTAATTTATTGGGAAACACTGACGATGTAATAATTAAACATGAATTAAATATCATTGGACTGATCGTATTGTCCTGCTTTTGTGTTGTTATGTCAGAACTCTCTAACGCGGAGTGCCCCCCTGAACAGCGACTCACAGGGGCGCTTTGGGAACCGCTTCCTGTCAAGCTACGATCATCGTTTTGTCATCAAAACTGTGTCGAGTGAGGACATCGCCGAGATGCACAACATCCTCAAGAAATACCACCAGGTAAATGCACACTCACTATGTTTGCATGCACATCATATTAAAGCAAATTTTCTAAATGCATGTAAAGTCAGGAAGTACTATTGAGATGATCCCTTTATCACATCTAGAGAAGCCAGTTTGTACTCGATACCTTCTGCTTGTGACCGTGCAGTCCAATTTACATAAGGCGTATGTTCAACTGCACTGGGTAAGAAACAGCCAGGAAAATATTAGACATGTGTTTGGATGTGTACTCACTTGTTTTAGATCAGTAGCAATGATAAAATACAGTCCCTCCACATGTGCACCTACTGAGCACATGTTTCTTTGTTTTGGTCCACTATGTTAAAGTGAAAATGTAACTTACCAGACCGTCAATGTGTTTTGTGTGAGTGCTAAAGTGAGCGAATAACCTGTAAGTAACCTAGCATGCTAGTTCCTAGCATGTCTGACAATCAAATGATCAATGTAAATGAGATGTTGCTTATCGATTTCTGACAGGAATGTGTTATAGAGTATAGCAATGATTTTCAATCAGTGTGCTGTAGAACACTAGTGGTCCTTGCCAGGTGTGCCTTAGAAAGCAGTTTAGAAGTGCCCTGTGCAAATTTCTAAACTAGAAAAGGCACAAAATGATCACCATTACAAAATTCCTAGTGTTAGACAGAGACATGTTGTCAATACATTTTTCTCTACCGAGTATAAGTTTGTTACAAACATGATTGAAAAATTCTGCAGAGCAGTTGGAAAGATGCCTAAGAGGAATATTTATGTATAGTGAACAAAAACAGTTGTTTTGTAATTGGGAAATCCACAAGATGGAGGTAGATAGTCGATCGGGGCAGCAATAACAAGAGGAGTGGAGTAAGAATGATATGATATTTTAACTGCTCAGTGTGCTTGATTGCCCCTCTGGGATAAATAAAGTTATACTGGTTGATTGACTGAGTTGGAACATTCTACAAATGTGACTCTATTGGTACAGAAAGAGGTACAGCTCATGTACAGTTCATTTAAGAGATTTTAGGTTAATCACTAATATATTGGGTTTATTCAATTTTGACATGTTAATCACATACGTTATACAAAAATGTAAAGAATATATTCTCGTCATCCTGCTTAGTTTTGACATGATGAAATACCACTTTTTAAAACTTTTTAAAACACTACATTTGATTTGCTGAAAGCTGCATGAACCCTGTATTGGGATGATTGAGTACAGTGGAGAGATGTGGGAAACGGAAAGGGAAAGGAAAAAAATATTCATACTATTCTTTGATTAACTAACAAACTTGGAATTGATCCTGGACTACTGTTATGTGGGATGCAAGATTCATCACATGGCCTGATTAGCATAAAAAAAAAAAACTGAAGAAAATGTATATATAGAATGTGCCATTAGACCCAATCTTATTAGTTATTTCAGTGTATTGCTATCTATAATCTCATATTGTTTAATGGAACACCACCACTGTTAATGTACTGCCTGCCAATTTCTAATCAGTTTACTCTCCTCTCCCTCTCTTTTCACTCCTCTTATTCTTTACCTCCCTCTCTACTGTCTTTCTATCCTCCCTCCTCTCTGTCTCCCCTCCCTCTCCTCTCTCTATGTCTTCCTCCTGCTTCCACTCTTTTCCCCGTCTCTTTTCCTTCTTCAACCCCCTCCCCTTCTCTTTCTTTTTCTCTCCCACTTTCTCTGTTTCTTCACCCACCCTCTCTCCTCTTTGTCCAGTTCATTGTGGAGTGTCATGGCAACACGCTGCTCCCTCAGTTCTTGGGCATGTACCGGCTCACAGTGGACGGAGTGGAGACTTACATGGTGGTCACCAGGAATGTATTCAGCCATCGCCTCACTGTGCACCGCAAATATGACCTCAAGGTATCACACCGTTTAGGAAACTTGGATATTTACAAGAAAAAAAAAACAACAGTGCATTCATAAGAACTGGTTACAAACATGCAAAGTTAAATTAAACTAGAGATATCACAGGGGAAATGTTTGTGTAAATTACTGTGAGAAGAAACACTGTGATTTGAAAATGTCAGCAATTAAATAGTAAAATCCTCTTGTCTGAGTATAATAGACCATCATAATGTCATATTGTAACATATCATATTACAAAAGTGCTGGAGCCACAGACCCTAACTACGAGCCCTAGCTCTTCACATCCATTGACTGGGGGCAGTTAAGGGGGCATTCGTAGTGTTTGTTCCTATTTGATCCCTGTGTAGTCCTGGTCCAGTCCAAGTTTATTTCGAGACTTAGTTACAGCTTCGTCCCAACGCTGATGTGGTATTTGTTCAAGTGTGAACAACCACAAGACTCACCAATTCCCCTAACATGTCAGGGGCATTTGGGGAAAGTATGAATCTTCTGAGTCTCATAGAGTAAAAGGGGTAGAATACAAGTTAATGTGCTCTGTATTTGAAAGAGAAGCAAAGACATTTCAAGGCCCATAAATACTGTACATTGTGGCCTGCCATTTTTGTCAAAACCCAGTCTTGTCAGATCTTAAAAGCTAAAGAAGGCAGGGCTTTGTTAGTACTTAGATGGGAGACCTCTGAGAATTCCAGGTGGAACAGCAGGGCGCCAGTTTCAAAAACTATTGTTGTATCCTTAGGCAAGACACTTAACCCACATTACCTAGTATGAAATAGGCGTGTGCGTGAGTGTTGCTGGTTGGAGGGCCCTATGGCACAGTTTAGCCCAGGGCAGCTGTGGCTACAGTAGTAGTTTACCTGTGGAATGAATGAATGCACAGAGTTTTAAAGCCAAATTGAGCGTCTAGAAATGTGCTATATAAGACTAAGGTATTATTGTCAGTCATTTTGTTAGATCATTTATATAGTAATTATTTTTGCAAAATCATAATGTTGAAGTCTGCTGCACTCAACTGTGTTCAAATTGTAATGAAAAATAAGCAGAAATACGTGGGTGAGGATTTCTCTTCACCAAACATTTGATTTGCAAATATCTGTATGGTTGTTAGGCTAGGAAAATTGCACTAAATAGGGTAGATCCACATTTCTCTTGGCAGTGAAAAACAACATTTATTCTGGAGGTAAATATTTGTTTGACTTTAGCTGCTAACAGGAGCCCAGAGCGCGCACGAAGCGTTCTGCTCCAAATGACAGAGCAGATGCAGCTGTTTATCGCAGTCCCTTGAGCTTGGGCCATTGTTGGATTCTCTGAAAGCTCAGCCCCCCGAAAATGACACAAAACAAATGCCGCTTTCTCACATTCAGGAGCAAAGTGTAAAACAGCACTCTATTTCGAAACAGATTTTATTACTCCCAGCTTTCCATGAACACTTTATGCTTTGCCAAGTACAAACCAAAAACATCCAACATCACTGCAAGATGCTGTCAAGGGAAAAGTGTTTAATAAGCAAACATATCTGCAGTTGTATTCTTATCTTCATCTTTGTTTCTTGTGCTAATTTTGTCTCTTTTTCTTCTCGTTTTAAGGGATCTACGGTCTCAAGGGAAGCCAGTGACAAGGAAAAGGTGCGTTTCATTTTGGTGTTGACAGCTGGTGGAACAGGGTGACAGAAATAAATGCCCCCAGCTCACCCGGAGACAAACTTGCTGTCAAATGACATCTAAATTAAGTCTGCAGATGTAGTTCACTAAAACACTGGTTAACAAGCTGTGGTTTGGGTACTCCTTTTCGTACACTGGAGTTTGATTTATTTTATACAGTAAGGTCCCAGTTAATGTGCTCTAGTCCTCTATCAATCCACGTGTAGTCCTGGTTTAGACCTGGTTTATTATTTTTAGGTTAGTTCTTGTTTAGTACTGTTTTTTAGTTCTTGCTTGGATATGGTTGAAGTTCAGTTCAGTTTAAGATGCACTACGTATGATTCTTGTGAAGAGTCTATCACCTCCTTTCCTTCAACAAAATGTCATTGCATTGCCTGGAATGTTCCACCCTTATGGCATTAATTGCGTCTATCTTACATTTTATCAATAGCAGGTGTTTTAAGTGCTAAAAATACCTTGTAAACATTCTTGCTGCGAATAAGTTCTCCTGTGTACAGCTTTGACCTGTAACTTGGCCTACTGGTGACACCTGCATGTCTCCATGGAAATAGAAAAGGGTAATTCCATACTGTTAAATATTCCAGGCAAAGGAATATTATCTTCTCCATGAAGACAAGTGGGTTGCGGATCCATCACAAAACTTACATAGTGTACCTTTAAGTAGATAAGATAAAGAAATAAAAGTGAACTATTTTTTTTCTGATTATAGTCTTATATAAGTTTAGTCCTAACTCCTGATTTAGTGTTATATAATTTGTCCCTATTTAGTAATAGTCATTTTAGCCCACAGTTGGTATTTTGAAAGCCAAATACTGTATGTAATTGTCTGATGGGCAAAGTTTGAGCACCACTGTTGTAGAACAGCACTTTTATCTTGTGTGCTTTAGGCCACTGCCAGTGTACGAGCTTTTAGTACAACGATGGTGATAAGATAACTTTGATTCACTCATGAGGGGGCCATTATGTAAACTTAAGTCAAACAAAGCTTATAACTAAATGGTTATTTTGATTTACCAAAGTCGTAAATGTTTACATATTTCTCCGCCTGTTCATGTAGGCTAAAGAACTTCCCACTTTTAAAGACAACGACTTCCTGAATGAAGGCCATAAGCTGCAAATAGGAGATGACAATAAGAAGCTATTTTTGGACAAATTAAAACGTGACGTCGAGGTAAGAGTCTTCTAATATTTTAAATATTATTGTGTGTAATGAGATATTCCTATTTATATCAAATGTACCTTTATCCCATTTAAGGTAAAGTTAAGTTACATTTTGAGTATTTTGTTTTATCTAAAGTCTCCAAAGAGGAATGTAAAGCCTTGATTAAAAAGACCAGAGTTGATCAGTGACAATTAGCAATGACTGAATCTTGATCTTGATTAACATTTAATTCATATCCCAACCTTAATTAGGGTGAACTATTTCTAAACACTTACATACATATAATAAAATATAAAGTCAGTATAAAGTTCTCATTGATGGATAGTGAATGTGTCATCTTGACTGAATCAAATTCTACTTTTCACAAAATTCCCACAGTTCTTAAATAAACAGTAGGAACTAGGCCATGTGGTATTGTTTTAAACTCAGCTGGCTTTTTCCCTAAAGGCAAAAGCAGCTTTTGATGAGACAGTGAAGGATTCCCTTTGAACAACACCCACTACAGCACCCCCAAGTGGTTAGAAATGGCATTGCCAGACCCAGGCTGCAGTTCATAGAATATGCAGCAATACAGCTTTCAGGATTGATTTCTTCGATAACCATTAGCTATATAATGCTACGCAATGCAGCTTTCATGTTGTCAACACACAATTTGAGTGCATATACTGACATACAAAGCCAACTAAGTAGTATCCACAATTTAGGAAACAACACTGAATTGAAACTATAGTAAAGGTTCTATCAACCCGCTTTATAAAAATATACATGACACTGTGGACTCCAGTGAAGCTCTGTAACTCTTAACACTTTTAATATCAAAGATGTTAAATCAAGAATTAAAATTATACTTTTTCAGAAACTGTCTTCCCTCATTAGTTTATTCAAAGTAGTATTTGGATCGATTCATGCATGTTTGGATAGGATTAAAAAAGATGGTGCAAAGCCATTTTTCTACAATAAAACAAATATACATAAGGTTTGCTGCTTGTTACAGTGAAATGCACAAAGAAGAAGTGGGGCTTCTCATTTATTAAGTTATGAAGCTGTTTAAGATCAGTATTATGGTTTCCATTGAAAAGCAAAAATTTCAAATAGTTAAGATAGTAAAGATAATAATAATGAATGATAATACATTTTATAGTTTAATACCACCAAAACTACAAAATCTATTATCAGTTCACTAAATAGATTTGTCATATCTTGTTATGTCTTGCAGTTCTTGGCCACATTAAAGATCATGGATTACAGTCTGTTGGTGGGCATACATGACGTGGAGCGGGCAGAGCAGGAGGAGATGGACGTGGAGGCAGGGGGGGAGGAGGACGAGTATGAGGCAGATGGGATGGGGGGCGGAGCTCTGACCGGCTCGTTTGGGACTCCTCCAGACAGCCCTGGGAATCCTCTGAACTGTGGGGGATTCTTCGGCCCCGGCGAGTTCGACCCCTCTGTGGACGTTTACGCAATCAAGAGCCAGGAAGGTGAGTACTTTGGGCAGGATGCTAGTAAAATGGTAGCTTCTAGATGGGGATTGTCCTATATGTTTTTTGTTAATACCAAAAATTGAGTTGCTGCTGTGGACATGAACTGATATTTGACAGGACTAGTACCTATATTAAGTTTTTAAAATCCATAATTACTTTTCACTTTTGTACAAAATGTATTCACATGGGATGCCTTTGTTCAATCACGGATGTTTTTATTTTGAAAAATATGCGTTCTGTAAGCAGGGTCGCTTCTCCACAGATCTGACTTATAATTTGGCTCAGTGGTGTCATCTGTTTGTTTACGTGGAGATAAATTTGTTTAATGCCATTCCATGCCATTAGGAATACCCCAGTCAAGGCAATAACATTTTTACAGAGCACCTTTAAATATTTTTAATTTAATTCTAGATTTTAATTCTAGATTGCTCCCTGTTGTGTACTAGCAATGTTCAAACTTTGTACTTTTACACATCTTGGTTCACTCATGTGTGAGTCTTTTTGCTGTGGCTTGGGTTTAGCTCAGTAGACTTAACTTAAATTGAAATGCAGCAAGCATCCATGGTAGACCAAACATAGATTGTTGTTTAATGCTTGGCTGATTTCTGTTGATTCAAGGGTCAAAAGTGAAAATGCTATTTTTTTTTTCAGGAGCTGTGAAAAAGGAGGTGTACTTCATGGCCATCATCGACATCCTCACGCACTATGACGCAAAGAAAAAAGCTGCACATGCTGCCAAAACTGTGAAACATGGGGTCAGTTTGCTTTTATATAATCAATTTCTATTAAATATATGTTATTTAATACATGTAGCGTTAACAGTCTGTTTCAAATTGAGTCTAGTAGTAACGATTTTTTAAATCCCAAAATATGGGTATGGCTGGTTAGATCATGGAAACACCAAGACTTGACCTGCTTATGGTTTCATTCAGTTGGAAAATTTAAAAAAATTTGACATTTTACTAAATAGTTGGTGACTATGAAAAGAGTCTGTCTGGCCATCTAGACTCTTGTTCACTAAAACAATACATCTCAGGCTAGAGGTGGGCAATATATGGAATTATCAATAATAATATGGATGTTAATTTTATACTACTACTTTTAATAGATGCAATAATATCTGATTCTGGCATATTTATTTGATACTTAAATCTCAACTGGACTAGAAAATATCTTTAGTTTCAAATTTTTTAAATACTGCACAAATTAAGATACCAATTTTTGTCAACATTTGGAATTTGTCCCCTTGAGCAAAATGTATCAAAATATCAGTTTTAACAGTGGTTTAGGGACAGAGCTAAATGTAGTCATCAGCTGATACAACATGTGTTGTTTGCTTTATTTCCTCAGGCGGGGGCAGAAATCTCGACGGTGAATCCGGAGCAGTACTCCAAACGATTCTACGAATTCATGTCCAACATCCTGTCATAGACTCATGTCCCAGTCCAGCTCCTGTCGCTTACCACGCACTTATTTCTTCTCCTCTTTCTCAATAATTTGTCTTTGTCCTTAACTTTGTTCCCCTTTAAACAAAAAATGATGAACTACAACCCTACCCCAGGTAGGATGTGCAAAAGGCTGTTACAAGTCCCATATACAAAAACAATGACTTTCTACGTCTCTACATCTCCATAAGAAAACTGATTATCCTTTTTTGGTGAAATTGGTCATATTTTGCCACGTCGTTCCTCCTCACGCCAGCACAGGATCCTTGTCACGAATGCCTTGAATGAGTGCGTCAACTTTAGAGGTTCACAGTTTATTAGTACAAGTCTCCTCAGTAGGTTGCGTTCATGTGCAAGAATTTAGATGTTATAATTTCAAATGGAGGGCAGAAGCTTATGTACCTCTTTGGCAGATTCAGAGTTTTTAGTAGAAATATCCAAACCTATGAACCACAGACACTGAACTACAGAGTCACTTGTTTGGTATTGGTTCTAACTTGCCACATTAATCGAATGGCGTAAAATCCCTCCAGCTGACAACAATCACGTCTTGGGGTTGAATAATGGCATCGGTTTCTGAAGATGTTAAACTTGCCAGTATTTCTTTCATGTGAGTAGGTCCCATAATTACAGCAATATAAACCATAAACCAGGTCAATAAATCTGCAATCTGACAGTTAAACTGACCTGTCCTCCAGCTCATTTTTAAACTACAGGCATTTTCGAATGTTGTGATGTCACATGAATGCAACCTATTAATGTTCATGTTGTTGTTGTTTTCATAATTTCTCTGTTAGATACAAACACAATGTAAACTTTCACAGAATGGTCAGATTGCATGACTTTTGACAGTCCAGACATCAATCTTGTCTCTCTCTTTCACTCAACCAAAACAGCAAATTGGAAAAACAGGGAATAACACATTAATGTATGTATAAGTAACTGAATGCAATATCAAAAATGCATGGCAATGACGTGTACATGAGACTCCACCTCCCGTAAGTTGGAAACATCAAAACCACTGATGATAGTGAGTGTTATGACTAAAGCGAACTAAACAAAAAAGAAAAAAAAAATTGGTGTTCTGAATGTTACGTTGCCATATTGTTTATGAATATTTTTTGAAATTTTAACCGTGAGCTTGGTGGAGGTCGGTCTTGCGTGAAAACTTCACACAAAAAGGGGAAATCTGCAACAAATACTTGTTTTATTACCATAAGAATCATTTTTATATCTTGTTTACATTAATGTAGCAATTTTGTGTTTGTATACAGTATTGTTTTGTTACCAAGAGACTTTAGAAAAAAAAGGTTACTTGAAAATGGTTCATTGCATATTAAAGGGAGTTTTATCTTGTTTTGGTTGTTGGCCTGCACTTTTTTATGAGATTGGGGATCTGAAGTTACAATAATTGTCTTTATTAATTGTCCTTATGGTATTGTGCTAAACCAATATTCTCATTTATGCTAGTTTCTCAGTCCAGCGTCCTGTTAACACATTTGTGAAACAAGTGGGTTTTGAACAAATAGTACCATTTTTATGATTAAATAAAAAACTTTTGGGACAATAAATATTTGTAATCCTGCTTTATCTTATTCTAATTTTATAGAGTATTATTAAAGTCTGCAGAGGCTTACATGGCTGAGTTTACACATGGTTGAGTTGCACTTACAAAAGCTAGATTTTGTGTATTTGTCAATATCTAAAAGTAGTTATAACCTACATGTTTCATTCAAGTTATTTATGTAAAAATACAATATAATTATGGAAGTTTTTGTTACCATCATTTTTATAATTTCATACAGTACTTTTATGAAGTGTGAGGTAGCATTCTCAACACAAAACACATCCAAGATACTGAAACTACTCCACTCATACACTCATTTGAACAAGCATATTGAAAAAGGACCTTTGAATGGTTAAGAGAATTGTCATAGCATCAGTAAATTCTGAATAATGCCACACAATAGAAAGAATAGGAGAAACCGCTTTTTTTTTTTTTTTTTTTTTTTGAGAATTAAACATTATCTTGTCAATTTTTTCAGTCTTTGTAGCGCAGTGATTCCCAAAGCGGGATCTAGGGACCCCTGGGGGCCCTCAGAGGCACTGCAAGTGGGCTTCCTAAGGTCTTCCACACAGCAAGCATAAAACAACAATAAATTTGATTTGACATTACATCATTTATTTGCTTCATTTACTACTTTAAATCAGTATTAAGCACAAAGACATAATATGCACTCTTAACATGTACTTTTGAGAGGAAAACGAGGGAATGACTGCTCTAGTCAATACCCAATAAGCAATACTTTGTTCTGTATTAAAGGTAACTGTAATCCAGGTGTGCATGTATTATATTTAGTTAAACCACGTTTCATTATGCAATTGATTGACTCATGTGTTTTAGATGATATAAATACAATAATAAACAGGGCCAGGGACTGGGCATATGAGGAGCAGTGTGAATGGTCTTACAAGTATCCTCACTTCAAACTCCACCCCTGCAGCCAGAAACCTGCACATAACTGATTATTGGCTGTAATTAGGGCAGTCCTGTGTGATGTATAGTTCTTGAAATAGCAGTGGCCACTAGAGGCAGGAGTGTATGTTTATATTTATGGCTACCTGCCTGACACACTGAGCAGTTTTTGAACTTCCAGAGGAAATACTTTGAAGAAATAGACCATTTCATCACCTGGCTCCCACTGGACGCTGCTGTAATGCCCTGGGCTGCACTGCTGCATAGAAGCACTAATGAGATAGAAGAGGAACACTTTTGTCCAGATGACTGTTCCTCACATGTGAAGTAAACAGTGTGAAAACGCAATAAAACAGGAATAAGTACTAAATAAAATGTCAATGCACACATTTAAAACACATTTTTAAAATATTTTAATAATGCAAGTGCAAAGGGTAACAGTTGGAGGTGCTTTAGCACTGTTGACGCCTGGGCCTCTCCTCTGCTCCTCCACTATGGCTGCTCCTTTTGGGTGGGTGGATGTGCTCCAGGAGACACAGCTCCTCTCGTGCTGGGAAGAGTTCAGAGGACAGCTCCTGCAGATTCCTGGACAGTTTCTCATTTTCTTCGTCGGTTACATCTTCACCAACTTCAATACAGGTGGTTTGAGTGTCCATTACAGGTGCTTAAGTTTGTCTTTAAGCTTCTCATGAACTTTATTGATGTATGGCAGCTGTTGTCAGAGCAGGACATTATCTCGCACTGTAATGTTATAGAGATATCTAATCTCCTTGTACACACAAACGTGGCTTTCCAGATCTTTCTCTTTCTTCAACAGAGTAGTTTTCAGATCTTCTTCAGGTCAAGTCTTTTTCATTTGTCTTTTTTGGTGTCTTGTTAGTGACTTTTTTGGAGTTGGCAAGCTCTGTACTGTAGAATTACACAGGTACCAGATCTCCTTATGTACTTTGATTTGGTCTTGTACGTGCTTGTCCTTCTTGTGAAGAGTATCAGAGTTTTTGCAACTTCAAGTAATTTTCCTTGCCAATCCTCTCCTGCTTGTGGTCCATAGAATTGTAAGCTTGGTCCACTCCAACTCTTCACACAGCGCCCTGACCGCGTATTGTCCTCCAGGGGTGGAAGTTCCTGGATCTGGATTTTTGGATTCTTTCCTCACAGTTTGAGGAGCCCTGGGAGACACCAGCTGGGTCCCCTGTGGCTCCTGAACGCCCCCTGTTGGTGTGGGGCAAAGCAGAGCATCCAAGTCGAAATCCTCATCGTAGAGGTGGGCGTCGTCCTCTGAGTAGTCGACCTGTCCATGTTTGTGCGCATGTTCATCAGTGTACTGAAAAGTTATGAGCCAAAACTTTTCTCTTGAGAACACAACATAGGCAAAAATGGGACATTATCTCCATGGTGATAAAGAATTCTATCATTGGCTTTACAGAATCGAGAAAAAAGTTAGAAATTAACTATTGAATTATTAATAAAACAATACTAATATTATTGATTTATTTTAAAAATCAGTTTACATCAGGCACTAAAAATGCATCAGTATCCACCTGTTAAGGGTTAAGTTAGTATTTATGATCACCTGCATTCATCTGTGTTGAAAATATGTGTGTTGTATGTGCATCCTTATTGTAGGAGTAATTTGCTTATTTTGTTTATTCAGAGATTAGTTTATTGATTTTGTTTGTCATTTAGTTTACTAATTTCGTTTTATTAATTTGTATAATACATTTTTGCTATGTTAATATTATGTTTGCTAATTTGTTTAGTCTAATTTGCCTTATTTACCTTAGCACCTTATCTGATTTGGTTTAATCTGTGGGGCACCTAGGGGATAAAAGAGGGTGGTATAGCAGCACCAGAGTGCACCTGGGTGAGCCTATGGTTTTTACCAGTCGGCAGGAGAGGCAGCAAGTAGACCTGAACATGTATTCTTGTTGTTTGCCTGTTAAAAATGGAATAAATCTTGGAAAATGGTGCTCTGGATATGGACACTGAGCTTGTATTACTTTAATGCGTAAACCACATACCCATGATACCCAATGGTGGTTCATTGAGTAATGTGTAGTTCCAAGTTTGCTCACTGCTTTTGTTTGTTAGTTTTTGTTGACAAATAGTCACTTCACTTATTACTTAGCAAACATATTTCAAATGTTTCTATTTATTCTACTTTTGATTTGTCAGTTACTCATACTATAATAAGGTTTCATAAGGGTTTAAAATAACTACATTTTGGTGACTGATGTGTCTTTATTTTAACATCATTAGCAATGAATGGGTTGTGTTGGTTTAGTACTATTTTCATATTTTCACATGTGCATATTTAAAATTTAGAGAGAAAGTTACCCACTAGTCCAGTGATTCCCAAAGTCGGGTCCAAGCCCCCCTGGGTGACCTCAGAGGCACTGCAGGGGGGCCTCTAAAGGTTGAGTCTACATTGTTACTGAGGTGCTCTGTATAATCCTTGGATAAATGGGAGTTCTCTACAGACTGGGAATGACTCTTGTAGAATATTGAGTCATTTCCTTGGAATAGAAAGAGTTTGTACAACCACGTACAAATCTGTACACCACTTTTTCAAAGATCCATTTAATGCAGTACTACGTTTCTAATCTAAGCCAATTGTCTGCAAATAAGTTTACTATATCTTTCAATTCAAGAGTATGAAAAGCAATTTAGCTTAAACCAATTTATTTATTGAGCAATAAGAAAAAAAAAAAAGACAATACAAGCAACCTTTCTTTTTTTTTTTTTTTTTTTTACAAAACCTATATGTTGATGAACAGTGGAGAAAGAAGATCTAGTCCATTCTGGCTTTGAGAGTTCTGGTGGTAATCTTGTCCTTTTCACTGCAAATAAAACAAGAAGAAAATAGTTACTTGACATTACTATGTAAAGTGATCTTGTGCTGAACAGGTTTTCTCTGTACTTACATGACGTGTACAACTACCCCCATTCCAGAAATAGCATCTCTATCCACAGCATTGAGCATGGCCTGGGAAATGGTTTCAAACAAGTCATCGGGTTCCTGAAATCCAAACACGAAGTGATAAGCTAGACAAACCAATAACCAACAATAGAAACAATAAAATGCAAAAACATCATTCTGTTTTCAATTAATACCAAAAAGATTTTCTAATAAAATTTAAGATAACTTCTTCACTTCGACAACTAGCAGTACTTGTAGTAGTACTTACCATATCTGGCTCCCACAGAGACTCACACATGCCGTACATTTGCTCTGAGCAGGTCCCGCTCACCACAAAGTCCTCAGTCACCATGGGACAGCCGATCAGGTCCAGAGAACAGATGAAGGGCTCCATGGTCTTAGGGTCGAGTCCCGCGATTACTGGCTCAATATAGTAAGGACCAAACCTTTAAGAAAAAAAATGTAAAGAGCTACAGCTGTTTTCAAGCATGTGCTGCCCATATGTGAGGAGGACCATTAGTGTAATGCTCCTTTAATTACATAAACAGTTAAAAGTTTTTTCAAGTGACTTGTTCATGACGTATACTATGAACAAGATTGAAAAGACACATTTACCATTATTTAACTATGATACAAGGACCAAACCTGGAAATACAATGCCAAAGCAGTTTATATTATATTCTGATATACAAGTAATAACAACAATGCTTATTGCTAAATCTAATAAAGATCATCTGGCTGCATTGTATGAAACACATGACTCACCGTCTTTCATACAGAAGGTTGGACACCATGCTCATGAAAGTCTTGGGCTTGATCTGACGACCCTCTTTCAGCTCGTAAAGGTTAAGTCTGAATTTTAGTCTCTGAGCTCTGTAAAAAGACAGCAAAAGCTGCTCATCCACGATTTGTTTCAACACAGGTCAACTGTGGCAAGTAGAACATACTTTTTTGATTAAATAAAAATAACAAAACAACTTAAAATTGTATGGAACTAGTGCAATTTTTCTTGCTGAATAGTGCAGTAACAACATATCTTGTATCTGAGTATTGATTTTAAGTTAATTCTTGCAAAGACTTTAAGGACTTTTGTGTGGAAACCCATTCATTTGTATAGCATGTATAATTCAAAAATGTAAAGGTCTGTATTATACATGCTAGAAGACAACAGAGACAACATCCCCCAAAGTAGCGTTACATTTGATGATGCAACATTAGGCGTAGACACTTACACTGTCTGAACATCAGTGGCCAGTCCAGCCAGCCCAATAAACAACCTTTCCCCCATTGGAAACACTTTCTGAAAGTCTGTAGTGACCATCTGTGCCTGGATCCCAAACCTCCGGTCTGCTGCGATTGCCACACAGTTCTTCCCTCTCATGGCCATCACAGCCCCACCATTATATGACATAATAGACTGTGAAAGAAACGAAATATCATTAACATCAGGCAAATAGCTAGTGAAAAGGTCTGTGCAATGGCAATTTATTAATTTTGTTCGTCATGCTATATTTTTTCCAAACTAAACCTGATCTTAGTTCGTACTAATGCTAGATTCAAACATTATGTCAGTAACCAAAGTTAGGTAGAGGTACATTTAGCTTTAGGCCTCAAGCGGAGGATATCCTACCATAAATTGTATTTTGTAGAATATTTTTTGAGTTTTAATAAGACTTTACATTTTCTGTACTATAAATATGTACTGTATTCTAGCATAATAGAAAATAGTCACTTATTATGATGTGTTGTTTATAAAGTATGTCATGCAGTGAAGTAGTAACCTAGTCAAAGGAAAGCATAACATTCAACTCTGTACTAATATAAGCAATTTTACGCATGCTGCTGTGAATGATCCGCTAGATCAACCTAAATATTATTTTCACATGTAATTTATAAAGACGAATGCCCAATAATGAATGCACAATAATGATACAACAGCTCCATATAAATATAATGACTAGCGCACGAAAAGATGCTCGGTTGCTAGCATTATTAGCATGTGTAGTTTACCGAAACTATTAATATTATCCATGTTAAACTATCTATAATAGAATTAAACATCAGGAATGGCTCTTACCATTTTGGCAGGTGTGTGTTTTGTTCCCTATTACTAAAATCCTGTTTAATTTATGAGTTTTAATGAAAGGCTGCAGCTAGCATTGGAGAGTGACTACACGATTTAGAAATAGGTAAGTAAATCTAGCCTAATGTCAAACGTCACTATTTTGCTTGAAGCTGATTGGACAGTTTATAGAATATAATTTGTGATTGGAGGAAAGATAAAGTAGGCAGGAAGTAACGATGAGTGTTGGTAGTTTGGTTGCCGCGTGCTAAACTGAAACCATAGAAATGAAACCGTGACACCGTTTGATACCGGTACACTCATTTGTAGATGAATAGATTAAAAACCATTTTAGTTGTTTTCATCATGTTCCATTATAACATTTATTCATAATTACCTCCGCCAAGGAGGTTATGTTTTTGCCGGCGTTTGTCTGTTTGTTTGTTTGTCTGTTAGCAACATAACTCAAAAAGTTATGGACCGATTTTGATGAAATTTTCAGGATTTGTTGGAAATGTGAAAAGGAAGAACTGATTTCATTTTGGGGGTGATCCGGAAGAAATCCTGGATTCTTGATCACTTTGAAATTTTAGTTAACATTGTGGTAAATGGGGCCAAAAAAATTGTTTCTCAATATCTCGGTTAATTATTGACCAAACCCCATGAAATTTGACTCAGGGATGGACAATGGGATCCTCTTTCATATTCCAAAGGCTGATCCGGATCTGATCCAGAAGACTGATTTTATCGCAATTTATATAAAAAATGGGGGTAGTCCTTGGCGGAGGTCTGCGCTCTCTGAGTGCTTTTCTAGTTGGATATGGTAAGGCCACAGTTATTGTAACTAAAAAATAATAGCTTTGTTTAGGTAATTTCTGATCTACTGATTTTGAAGAGTGGAAAATATCACTTCTCAATAAGACAAAACTGTTTGGACTATTGTTTAATTGCCAGGAAAATTTTCAATACTCAATCATTATTACAACATCAAAAATATATGGCAAATGGGTCAAGTAACATTACTCTGTACAAAGTTGCAATGGAATTACTACTAAAAGTTAAACTAAAAGTTTGTACAAGAAACAGTTATCCATTAAAATAAGTAAATGTGCTTTTAAAAATAAAGCCAATCCATGATAACCATCCATCCCTGCAGTAAAAACATATGGGTAGACTGAATGTCAACTCATTGTCTGTGTTTTTATCTCCTCATGAAATGGTCTTGAGAAGCTGCAGTTCTTTGAATTGAGTGGATGTTCCTTTTCACTCTGTCTTCCAGCGAGGAGGAAGCAGCACTCTCCAGTTTCATGTTACTGGAAAATAATTAGAAGGTGAGTTATTTAAGATGTGAAAAAATAATACAAGCATATCAAAATAAAAGGAACTTACTGAATGAAGCCAGCATGCTCTTCGCGTTTGGTGTTTTGCTCCCGCTGTTTCTCCCTCTCATCTTGTTTTTTGTATCTTTTTACATTATTTTCTCTGTCTTCTTCTCTTTGTTTGGCCTGGTCCATCATAACTCGCCTTTTACGCTCCAACTCATCTGCAGATAGCTTCCTGCATAAAATAAAATGTACTGATGAAGACATTATTATATTCTGATTAACTATGCAATTATCAATTATTTTTTTAAGGATAGATGGTGATCACAAAAAAAAAAAATCTATTATCAAATACTACTTGTAAGTAATTAACCAATTATTCTATCACCAATTTAGTGCAATTAAATTATTGTTTATAGGTTAACAATAATGTGCTTATTGTATTTAGTGATTTTATATAGATGGACAATAAAATCAGACAAGGACAGACTTGCAGCAGATAGTTATACACTGCATAAGGAGAGTAGCTTCAGTGCAAATTTTCAGCAGGTGAATATAATTAGGCTTGCAGACCTAATCAGTTCAGTTCGTGCTCATTACGTTTTACTGACTATATTGTCATATTTTATGCTACTTACTTGGAGACATGGTGGTTGTGTCTTTGGTAGCGCTCTTTCGGTGGAGTGGGAGCTCTGGGATTGTCTCGTCTGTCACTTCTGTTGGAGGAGGAATGGTGGTCCCTGTGGTTTCTATGGGGTGATCGGGAGCGACTTCTTTCTCGCCGTGAAGAATGATTTTCGTAGGAAGTCGAGATGTGATGACTTTTACCTGCTGGAAGCTGAGGAGAAAGATCTTTTAGTTTACTGCTGATGGGGAGATAAATTCACCAAAAACATCAAAAAGGTGATATATAAGTATGTTTTATCATCTTTTATTGAAAAACTTTTTCTAAAAATATTTCCAAACAATTATCTTGACAAACTAAATTTACATGCCTCAACCATGAGTAATTATTATTTATTTCCAGTTATAACATTTAATGTTTTTTCTCATTATTTAGTGTGCTTTTCTGCAGCACACAAAATATATTGACTCACCTGTAATCCATAGCCTGGTAGATGGTGACCATTTAGCTTTTTATCAGATGAAGCTTCATAGTGTGAATGGGATCTATAAAAAAAAAAAAGGAAGAAAAAAATGTATTATCTCATTGGTATTATACAAAGTTGTATTAGCCACAGCAGTAATAAGAAGCCATGGTAAATCCCATTACTTGTGTTTTCTGTCATCCTCCTCATCTGAGCTTGAACTGGAGGTTCGTTTCTTGTGTTTCTTCTCCTTTTTTCTGTCTTTGTCTTTTTTCTCTTTCTTTTCCTTCTTTCTTTTCTTCTTCTTGTCTTTGTCCAAATTCTGACGAAGCTGCAAAACAAATATTTTTTTTACTAAGGTGTAAAAAATTGAATGGACTGTACACTTTTCATATTCTTTATAGTATCAGATTTAAAGATGTGTGTCAAAATATGAATAGCAATCGAAACATTATAATTACAATACATACCATTTCTTTGATTTTCTTCATCTTTACTGGATTAGTCAGGACTTCTCTCTTCTTTGCCTCTTCTCTTTTCCTGTACCAAACACATTGTACTACATTAAATAAACAATAAATATTGATTTCTAACTTTTCAACACTATGATCTTCCTGACCTGATTTCAAACAGGGGGTCCTCTCTGATCTTGGCAGCCATGTCGAGTCCGGATGTCGCTGTGTTTGGGTTGAAGATGGAGCCGGGCAGGAGTCCAGTCTCCATGGATGGGCCGCTCTCGGGGTCAGCATACTGGTCAGTGATCTGTTTGTCAATGGGACGACCCAGCAGGTATTCATCTCTGGACACCTGGCCGGCAGGGCCTTGGTACATCCAGTCCAAGCGATCATCTTTTTTTCTGAAAACAAAACAAGGTTGAAAATATATCCTTGCCGAGTTCTCCTATACAGTAATGGAAAATATTATAGTGGCTCCCATGAATATACAAATAAAATGGCATGTTGTTTTCAGTTAGCCTAATACTAAAAAAGATGCCAAATACAGAACATATACTGATTTTACATTACATTGTTTGCTATTGAATCTCTGACATTTTGGTGACGTTTGCTCACTAATATAAAGTTTTTAATATTCGATATCACGCTCTACTCTACTAGTTCATAACGTAACATAGTCTAAAAAGCTGCCAAGTACCAACTAAATCAAATCAACATTGGTGGTGCGTGAGTGGATAAAACTAAATGGCAAGAATACAATTATGAAATGTGTAAATAAATTGATAAATTAATCATACATCCATAATCTCCATAGAAATCTGTGGGGAATATTTGAGAGAATAGAGTATGCATATTTAAAATCTACTAACTTTATAGCCCCTGTTTCTTCTGCATATCTCGTCATTTCTTCTCTGGCTCGTTCCTCTTTGAGCTCCTTCTGAAGTTCCTCGATCTTTTTGCGTTCAGCTTCATGTTTCTGCTCGGCTTTCCAAACCCGCTCAATGTTTTTCATAGTCTGGGGATGCCAGCTCTTTTTCAAGTTCTGTAGAAAGACATTTCATTATAAATTAATCCAGTGTCTGCCATTAATAGAAGAGATTATGTTGACACCCTAGATCACAAAATATCGCCTATAGTCTAAACACAAAGAACTTGGACTATTTTTGCTACTAAATATCACACTTTCACCCATTGGATTATCATGAACATTTAAGTACTGGACAAACAGGCCTGCGTAAAGATTAAGAACTGACAATAAGCGACATTTATACAACACGAATATTACATTAAATTCAAATTATAAGAGTTTGTGCCACCATATTATCCCTCGAATCTATAGGAAACACTATAAATGTATCACGATGAATAACATAATACTCTACATTGAAGTATATTCCAGCTGAGCACAGGTAACAACCACTATATTAGACTTTTTCCACAGTATATGAGCAAAACATTGTTAGCAGCAGCAATTAGCATTCTCTCAAATAAATGTCGTTTTGTGGTTATAAAACAAACTTACCAAATCACCACCCCCCATCTTGATTTAATATTCGATTCCCCTTCACGAAGAATATAAATAGTAAAAATGGCCTTTAAATCGTCTGAGTTAAGACTGTAAAAAGCCAAGAACGGAAACGATCGCCGTGTGTTGTTCTTCAGCTGTGTTGGACAGGCTTCCGGTCTTACGTAATTCCTTTTCCGGGATGTGCCAGAGACGTTAGTTATTTCAATGAATGGTTATTTTATTTTTACATTATTATGTTTTAAAAAAAATAGCGGCAGGGATTGTAGATAATGAAATTATTTTTAAAAAAGAAAACAAAACGATTTTACATATCGTAAATAATTACATATTTAGTAGGCCTACATAATTAATTAATTATTTAAGTAGGCCAAAAAGATTCTAAATTATACATTTCCCTCATATAATACTGTATTAGACCAGGGGTTCTTAACCTTTTTATCCTATGGGTCCAACTTAAGTAACATATCAATGTATTAATACATTCATATTGTGTAAATATATAGAATTATAATATATTAATTGTGTGGCTCTCAAGGACGTCCTTGCAGCCCTTATGGTTAAGAATCATTGTATATAATTAGACTATTTTGATTTAAAACACACCAACACATCTGGTCCACGTATTCAGTAAAGGTTTATCTTTTTATTTATTTCAACAGTGTAATTAATACAGAACACAGATTAAATACATATTATTACACCATGGTGTTTAACTTAAAGTTTATTCAAAAATAATGACTACAGAAAATAATACATTGTTCATCTGGCTCTACTGAACAACATTTAAAACATCTATTGTAATAACACTAAAAAAAAACAATAAAATAATATTATTCTACGGTATAAGTAATCTTTTTATCTCATAAATTCCCACAAAATTGTAACTTCAACATTGTAAGCTGTAGTTGTGTGCTGGTTATAATGCCTATATCAGTGAATATCTTCTATTGCTTTCTACATTACTATTTATGGATATGTTTTAATGCATCTAATTAAACTAAAAATGTATGAAGCCTGTCACTAAAGTTGCCTATAGTTTTATTGAAAGTATTTATTGTATTAAAAGCTACTTCACAAATAGTTTTCAAGTTTCTGCTAGTCCTAGGTTGGATATGTCAATCTGAACAATGGCTTTTAATCAAACGTGTTGAGTGATAGGATTTCCACACTGTATCTGCTGACAAAAGTAAAATCAACCTGACCTCACTTGTGTTCATTAGTCACAAATATATCCATTTTGGAGACAAGTTTTGCACACGAAATGTTGATGTATTTTTGGACCATGTGGTGGCAGTAATCCTAATAGTGAATACTGTTTCATTGAACAGTGGCTAGTAGAACTATGGAGAATTATGCTTTGAAACAATTGGGATTTTGTTTTTTGTCACATATCACCTTATTCTGGACTCATAGTTTAATGGATGTAGTTTTAAATCTCATCACTCCAGGTGAGTGGACACAAAAGCATTAGAAGTTCAGGTCTTTGGTTTCAGCAGCAGCTTTAAGTGTTGACAGTGTGGATCGGAGCGGTGTTTGTAACAAGTCCCTGTCATCGACAAGTCACAACAGACTTCACGGCTGATTTCACCCAGCAGACATTTCTCCTGAAATCTATCATTGATGGTATTTCCTGTATGGCTTGTAAAACAATATTGTTTTTTCATATTTCATTTTTTTAATAATCTTTCCAATCACAGCAATGTGCCTAAATTGTCAAGCACACCTACAGTTGTGGTATTAATTAATAAATGTTGCTAAATTTTCCAGTGTTTTACCAAATCTAGCACAGTAGCTTTGCACAGCAGTTTTATTCTCTGGTCTATAATTACTTTACTTTAATTGTTTGCTTATAATATTAAATATATAACATTTTTTTCAGTAAAGTCAAAACATTTCATTGTAAACAAGTCATAAACCATTTTTATGTGTCCTCAGTCTTTTAATCACGGATAATAGCAGCTCTAGCAGCAATGTCCAGCAACAAGCTGCAACTTCTTGCTTGCTTTACTATTTACTATTATAGCAAACACAAAGAATCATCTCAATGTGCTCTAAACTCACATTTGTTACAGGAAATCACCTTTTTCTTCTAGTGACTTCATACTTTCCTAATCTTAGCTGTAGTGGATGTGATCTGCCTCCCTCTGTGTCTCACAGGATAATCTTTTAGCCCTTAAATGCTTGTTTACAGATATTACCCAGACTGCCCTGTCACTGCAGAGTCTGGCTCAGTCTTCAGCTTCAGTGTGGGCTCTGGCACGTCTGATGCAGACACGTTTGGAGCAGGCTGAGGAGATGTAGCTGCATCAAAGCCCTTCTCTCCGTTCACCCGGTCCTCCCCCTCTCCTGCAGATGTATGTGTGCGCATGTGTTTGGCCAGGTGGTCATTTCTCATGAAAACTCGATTACATAAAGGGCAGGATAACTTCTTTGCTCCTGTGTGTGTCTGTAGATGGCGCTGCAGTTCCTCTGAGCGTGTGAACCTCTTCCCACAGAACAGCCAGTTGCAGACAAACGGTCGGTCTCCGCTGTG